TATGTAGGTAAATAATATCATCTGCTCCAAGGCATTAGGAAATAAATGTCTAATTCAAGGTGCATCCTAGTAAAACTTGTGGTATAGTCACATGAAATCCACTACAATTAATTATTTATATCTTCCTCAAAGGATTCTACTTGCTAAGTTCTGTAAAAGGACACCAACACTTGACAAGAAGAAACGCAGTGGACTTTTCCCAGGAGGATATGTCCTGAAAATTGTCATGGGAAACCCTCTTCTAGTCTCAGAGAAGAATAGATACCTTGGAATAATGCACTTAAAACACTGAAAATCTAAGGAACTTGTAAAATTAAATGGACTTGGCAGTCTTTTCCAACCTACATGATTCTATGGTTCTATTCTACCATGTTAAGACATCTAGTATTCTGCAATTCACTTTCCATGAGCCCATTCAAGTTAAAAAAGTTAAAAGTTATTTAAAACTTATTTCAATAAAAGCAATAAAATGTTGTTTCAATAAAAACTTGTTTCAATAAAACAGCCTATTAAAACATTTTATTGCACACAGCCATATTCTAAATACCCCTTAAATCAATTTTTTCTTCCAACTTCCTACTGTGTATATGCTCAAGATAGTCATCAGCTATGGCTGAACAGAGTCTGGAGCCTGAATAGTCTAGGATCCAAATATTGTGACTAAACTTTCTATTCTTCTTGGAATTCCTTGTGTTGCTCAGACAAACTTAATTTCAGTTCCTCCTTGAGGCCTCCATACTCTCCTCATCCTGAGAGAAATATGCCAGCACCTTTCACTGTAGTCACAAATTGGACAAAGAAGTGCTTCTTAAAAAGGTTTTGGGAAAAGCCTTTTTTGGAATCATGCTACAAAAGCAGGGAGCTGTCTTCATATCAGCTCCAAGACATACAGAGACACCAAGAGTTCTCCCAAATGATAATACACTGGAGCTGTTGTTATAATATGTACTCCTGGACTCTGTAGAATGTCATCACTCTGAAAACCTTATCACCTTACTTTTGTAACAACAAAAGCTCCTACAGAGTTTTGCAAATACCACAGAAATATTTTATATTTCATTTTGCATGGCTTTTAATTGCTCCAAAGGAGCTGAGAACAGAATAACTGATCCAAGCCAGTTCTTTCTCATATGAGTGGCCAATGTGAAACACATCCTACCAAAAGCAAAGATGATATAATTGCAAACACAAAGCTAAAACTATTTGTTGGCAGATTGAAACAAGAAACAACAGAGCTTCTGGTACAGATACCAGAACTGGTTCCTCATATGCTAGCTCGGATCTAGCCATTTTTCTTAGCTTAAGATGGATCACAGAGTTGATGCAGTCATATAATTTCCAAAGCCCACAGAAGTCAGACATGATTTTCATACATTATTGTACTTTGAAGTAAGCACTGCTGGATAAAATATGATGCTGTGCAGATCAAAGACTCAAGAGTCCTAAGCTCAGAGTTCACCTTTTCAAACTGATACAAAAATGACATCTAGCAAAAAAGAAAAAAAAAACCCTAAAACCAGAGAAGAGCAAAATAACTATTCCATATAGTATATGTAGTACATAGTACATATACTATACAGCTGCAGTATCCTAGAGCAATTTCGGTGTCAGTTCCAGGGTTCTCAGTTGTGAACACTTTCTCATTTCACCACCCCTCAAACTTCCCTGCTCATGGAAAGAGAAGCTGTCTGCTTCACATCAAAGCATCTGGAAAGTTCCCTCTGATGACAGATTTGAACTATTTGAAGAACAGTAATACAGCACTAGGTTGTCATAACTGAAAACATGGAAACAGAAGTCTTGTAAAGGGGTCTGGAGCTCAGCACAGAGAAAAATGAAAACTTCAAAATATTATAAAGGCAGAGATGTCAGGTTTTACACAGGTAAAGCTACAATATCAGTGTTTTTCTGCCACCTACTGATACCTTCCAACTCCCTTTTTACCTGGCAGTTTACTCATAAGATGTTCTATAAATGAATAGGTAACTCAGCTGCTTCTGACATCTGCTCATGCACTGTAAATCCCTTTGGAATTATTAGAATTTTTTAAGCTACAGCTCTTCAAATAAGCATGTGATGAATAGCCCTGCCCTGTACGGCTGCCACTGACAGCACTCATGTGAACACATCTGTTTACAAGAAAGGCATAAAATAATTTTATAATATCTATAACATCTATAAATATATATTAAACATTTTAATAATGTATATAAAAATATAATATCTATAAATATAACAACTGCATAATTAGTCAGGAAGGGATATTTTTCAAGATCACCATGCTACAAAGGGTTTGAGAATTGAGATAGTAGATACCTCAAACTATCAGTCTGTGTGTCAGTTGTTTGTATAAATCATCACAGTTTTTATTTCCATTTATGTTCTCTGTATGGGAACACACACTGTTTTTCCTGGCCTCATCTGCAACTATCAAGAAAAGCATAAACACTGGCAGGAAGCTATAAAAAATCTCTATAAAAATGGACCCCAAAAACTAGTAACTCCCAGAATACACCCATCCTTTGCATGAAAAGAGTTTAAAACACATTAATTTCATAGCTAATCTTGCCATAAAGATTAAGCACTATGAAAATATTTATTACCAAAAAAAAATCCCTAATTTATTAGTTCAATGAATGGGAAAGCTTCAGAAAGAGTTGCAAGAAACATTTACAAGAAAACCTGCATTCTAGAGACAGAGTGAAGAAAGTCAATTGAACTTCATAAACACAGAGTGCCACCAACAGCCTATCAGCTCTGCACAAGAAGCACATATCTATATGGGATCCTGAACTAGCAGATATAGGCACACCACACAAGAGTCCAGGAAGCTGATTCGTGATAAATTTAAACTGGAGCACATGACAGAAATAAAGCATTGTGATATCTAAGTATTAGGACAACTCTTGTAAGGGTGTGATAGATATTTCCTCATGATATCCAATTTTTAAAACAACTAATTGAAAGAGGATCTACAAGACTTTTGAATGAAGGAAAAGATAGAAGTTCATACCAGTCGGCTTTTTGAAAAAAAATTTCCAGCATTTCAACTGCAAAAGTATTTCACAGGATGTCAGGTTCCTTTGGAAATTTCTAAATGTAGCTGAAGAGTTCACACTTTAGAGAACCCAGAATTTTTCCCAAACCAGAAACATTAGAAAGGGATAATGCCCATACTGCTGTAGTGCCACTGCCTTTGCTGACTCTTGCTCTGCCTCAGAGCTCCATCTCATGATAAATTGTGGCAGCTCAGTGTGAGGGTTCACAGAGTTTCACAGACTATACAATCCCATCAATCAAGAATGTGAAGGAATGCAGTCTACAAAAATCAACATGCTAGATGCAGTATCTAATCAAAATGTTGGGTTTTCACTACATTTTGAAGTTTTTATCTGGAGCTTCACTTTGTGAACATTTGAGAGAAAATTGTGAATTTTGTTCAGAGGACCACAGCATCTGAATATGTACCTAATACCTGTAAGTAAAATTTTGCAAGCTATAATAAAATTCTTTCTGGATTTTAAATTTGTACTGTTAACTAATATAGCTAATATGCTTCTAATTATAGTAAATCCAAATATGTTGAAGGTATAGACAGATCTAACTTGGCATTTAGGTTGATAACAAAATTTTCTGCTACATAAACATATAAAAAACCAGGAAAGATATATTCAGAAAATATAAAAAAATCAGAAATTAAATGTAACACAACTTATCAAATATAAGTCTAAAACAAAGACTGTATCTGAAACACCAAATTCCTGAAATACTGTATGTTGTATCTCCCTATAAAGAGAAGTTTTACTACTGCAACAGCTGGAAGCATTTACACTTTTTAATATCTTTTTCAGTAACAAAGTTAAATTCTTCTTGCAGCTGTTCAAAAGTATTTTGGAATGGTTTGTTCCCTGGATCCAGCATACTGTGAAAGAATGTAAGGGCAAGGCTGAAGAGTTTTACAAATTGCCTCAATTTCAAAATAACTTTTAAAAATCAGATATTACTGATAATAACCCGTTAGTCACGAGGTGCATCAGACACGTGGAGCACAAGCAGGTGAGCTGCACAGGACACACATAAATCCAGCACAGCACTCACACATCAGAACTGAGGCCTGAGCTCTCCAGGGTCAATCTGAGCTCATGCAATAAACCCACTGTGTTCAGAACATCCCAGAGCTACTGAGTGCTCACAGGACATCTGGGTGTCCTGGGGAGGACAGGACCTTTATCCCAGGCACACAAGTGACCTCTCTGCAACTGCAGCAGAAGATGCAGCTTCCTCTGTTTGGCTATTCTGGTATGAGACCTAATCTCAGGCAACAGTTCTGCTCTGGGCTTTTAAATAACTGTGATAACTACTTCAGTTTGTTCCCATGCTTTGCTTTTATCTGTTAGACCTTTAAAAAACCTAACAAGCCTTAACTTGGTCCCTGTTATTTGTAATCTCGAAGCCAAAGAACTTGCATGAAAAATTTTAAAAGTATTTACAATTACCCTGTAATACCCTAATATAGAATGGACAATATGTATTTCCTTCTGAAAAACATGTGAAGATGGACTATCAAAATCTGCTAAACATTACCATAATCAATCCCATCATATATGAACACCCTCATACATGAATACTTAGAGTATTTGGGATCAAACTCTACTGCTTTAGCCTATTTGATGAATTTGTCTGTGACTGAGCAATCCAATTCCAGTAGCTATTTCTGCATTCACATTTCTTGGCACATTAATATAAAGCCATCTATCATGAACTGCAGAACTTTTAAAGGTACAAATGGCAACAGAAATGTCTTATAACGTTGGCAATTTTTAGAACACGTTTCAAATTCTGATAGATTAATCAGGTTATCTAGTTTAACATTACAGCTATTTTAAAAAATCAACTAGAAAGCACTAAGAAACCCTAAGCCAATTTACCAGCAGTTCCCACAGATCTGAACAAGAAATTCTAACAGATGAGCATGCTGATAAAACTTAAAAATATACAATTCATTACCAGCTGCATCAAGCAGAATTTATCAGCTGTGAAACAGGAGCTACAGGAAAGCACTTCCCTCATCAGGTGCCCATGATAAAGCATGCAGGAGTTTGCCTGGCATCACAGCATGTAGTTTCTTCTTCATCTAGAAAGAAAGGTAGACCTAAATCAAAATTTGTTGACAGAATAGAAAAAGCTATTCAATAAGATTGTGTATGGATACACATGTTTAATGTATTTCAAAAGTCACCCTCTCTGCCCCTCCAAATAAAGTGAAACTTCCACTTGATTTTAATGGACCACAGAAACTACATGGCTTTCAAATGAAATATACACTTTGCTACCTCACAGCCACAGCAACTCACCTGCATTCTAACATCTGAATTGCTGATGAGCTTCTATTTCCCTGAAAGAGGATGCTTTCTTGAATTTAGAGTTAATGGAGGAGAAAAATGAATTCTCTAAATGAATTCTTCAGAAAACATGCTCCACAAACAAATACTTGACAAAACAGCTAGAGGTCAATATTGACAGCCTGTCAGATCAGAGTTAAAAGAGAACTCTTTTTGGTGAGGAAATATCATATTCCTTGGTGTCTCCTTTGAGGATGAGGACATGGTGTTCAGAACCCAGCCCAGATGCCATCTGGTTTTTCTGAGCTGTCACTTACTGTAGCTGTAACAGAACCTACTACAGAAAGGGTACAGTCAGGGACTTGGGCACTATTAGTACAAAGCATGCTACTTTCACTTCAAATCATTTTACAAACTTAAAAAAAAAAAAAAAAAAAAAAAAAAAAAAAAAAGCAAACTGGCCCACTTTGACTGGTGTAATTTTAAAACCACCTGAGCACCTCACAACCTTCCCTGGCTGTCCCAGTAAACTTCCTCAGTTAATGAAGTGCCACTCAGCCATTTCTGCAAAAGAGCAGAAAGATGTTCCTATAAAAGCATTAGCTGCTTTTCTTCAGGCATTAGTCACTTGACATCTAAATTGTTTTCAAAGCGACTATGAAGAACAGTTATACTTTGTAGACATAACCCCCATTTTTAAAGTAACAATGACTTTTTAATGGCTACAAATGCAAATTTTCATAACTGAGTCATGAAGAGATCTGCACCATTATGTACGAGTGCCTCCTTCCAGCAGCAGATTTTTTTTCTCAGTTAATTATTTTAGATCATTTTCAGATAAGTGGGAAGAAAAATACTCAAATTTCAGATTATTAAAAATAATGAGCTGTGGATTCCCCATCCTGGAAGTGCTCAAGGCCAGGTTTGACTGGGCTCTGAATAACATGATCTAGTGGATGGTGTCCCTGTCCATGCAGGGGCTTTGGAACCACATGATCTTTAAGGTCCCTTCAAACCCAAACTATTCTATGACTCTGTGATTATATGATTCAGACTTACTAGTAATTTCACAAGTGTGTCTGTGTGACAACAATTTATCCATCTGGTGACAGTTACATAAAGGTCTAATTTTTACCCAAATTTTAATACATTCAATGTATGATTACTGATACTATACATGATAATTCTTCCTGAACTATTATCTGATACTAACACATTAGTAGTCTTAAAATCTATTTAATTAAATTTATCAGCTAGGTATGTAATTGAAGTGATTTTTAAAGTAAGATTTATATCAGGTGAATATTCATATTCTGTCATTCAGTAATTGATAAAATCTCTTATGCTTTCAGATCCTGAGGGTTGATGTCAACCCTCCTACAAGCAATAGTATTTCTCTGAACCTTATTTCATCAGGACCATGCAAAGCAGAGATATTCAGTGCTAGTAAATTACATAACTGTATTTTAGGATTAAGATCAATTTGGTACCCAAATGCTAAGTATCTGATGACTATCTGATGGCAGACAGCACTTTAAAAACTAAGGAAGACAGTGATATGCTGAAGACATGCGTATGATTTTAAAATATTTTTATAAAATACTTGTGGAATTTCCAGTTTATTTGTGTTTCAGCATGTGGTTTACAATCCACAGGAGCTAGAGAACAAACAGGAGGAAGAGATTTAGTCATGAAACAGAAACAAATCACCAGAAGATGAATGAAGAATGTCTGAACAGAGGGGAAGAAAGTCAATTGGAAATTGCAGGAGACTGAATTTAGTACTGGTCCCAGCTTTCAGGTAGGATACCTGGCAGGCAGATGTGCCTAACCTGACCTGGGTGAAAAGGCACAGTTGCCGTAGCAGGCACTGTCATCCTGGACTTGCTCCAAGAGCAGGGGGATTGTGAAGAGAGATTGTTTGTGAACATACACTTAGAGAAACTTAAATGGGGTCCCAGGCAGCTCCAGCAGGACCAGGATATCACGTTCTCTTAGTATGTTCCACAAACTTCTTCCAACTACTAACACAACACAAGTGAGCAACCATTTGTATACTTACTTTCTTCTCATAATATGTTTAATAATATACCTGAATACATATACAAGTTTCCTTACTGATCTCAGTAAAATAAATACTTACATGTCCTAAGGAAAACTTGTTCTACCAGATGCTCCATCCAGAGTACCATTAAGTGTAGATCAAGGTACAGAACTGTCACTCTAAATGCACATCATGTATGCTAGACCAGATTTTCCAGTTAACAGCAGTGCAATTTGTCTTATGACACAGCGTAAACAGCAGAGAAGCTAAAAAAAAAAAAAAAGTAATGGGTCAGATTACAGGTCTGTTTAGGCATTATTCAATCTCCAATAAAGACAATACAATGCATCTGCATAACAAGTAAATTATACTTTCTTTAAGTACTCTTTCAACATTAGGCAGTCTGTATTTTGCATACTGCTGTACCAACATTGCTCAGGTAGGGGCAAAGTTGAGGCTGAGGTGATGGGGATGGCCAAGACAGCAGCAGGGGTTCCTCACTCAGGGCAGTGAAAGGATTCACAGAGGTTTGGGAGCATCCCTCCTCAGCAGTAAGGCCTCCCACATCATCTGCAGTTACTACTGCTGCTGCTGAGAGAATGAGAAAACTAAATTCAAAAGCCTCTACCTTAAACCACGGGAAATGCCACCAAGTTCAATGCAACTACTCAATATAAGCACGTAAAAATAAAATTAATACATTCCTAACTGACTTGTTAAGTTTTGCTGCACAATAGCAGGAAATATGTAAATAAGTATTTTTATTGTACTACCTTCCTGCAGGTTCTGATTTACAAGCCATTCTATTTGTCGTCTATTTGTCGACACCTCAGTGTCTCCAGCAAGCTATGGAAAACAAATGAGGACAAGCTTCCAGGGGAGCATAACCCCATATATTTTCGCCACACACTAAGCGGTTGACCAGCGGCTGTCCCGCTCCCACAGGCGAGGTTCCAGCACGGGTTTTCAAGGGCTGAAGGGCCGGGCCCCTCGGCCGTGTGAGGGCGGACGCGGAGCGCGCTCCCTCACGGGCGGCTCCCGGGGCCGCGCCCAGCCCGCCGCACCGGCGCCCCCTGGCGGCGGCGGGCAGGGCTGCGCCCCGAGCGCCCGGCTCAGACTCGCGCCCTCACAAAGGAAATTAAAATAATGGCTTTATTTCATCTACATTGCTTCTGGATATTACTGCGTTCTTTCAAAAATCAGAGCAAAGCGAAGGCTTCGGTGAAATGCTGTAAAGAACCTACCATATTCAAACCGATTTTAACACTTACTGGATGAGAAGTGTTGGGCAGTGTCACACTGTGCTGAACAGAGAACACACGTTGTTCAGAGGGCTGTTTCAACTTTTTTCTGAAAGTCAAGGTCACCTTTGCAAGATCTTTGGTTTAAAGCACGGCTCAGCCATAATTATTTCATCTTCCTTCAGTCTATCAATATAACCAAACTGTCTAAAAGCATCCCTCAAAAATGCACAAATATTTATTTGTAAAAAGTCCGAGCCAAATCACTTGATGGAAGTTCTCCCTTTTCAAAAAGGACTCCGCTCTCAGCTACGGTAATGCAAATCCACACATTCAAAACCAAGAGCTATTCCTGATCTATAGCAGCATTTTTATTAACAAAATGTTGTCTCTTGTCCTTTTCAGTTTCTACTGACATCCCAAAGACTCAGATTAAAATGAACTTCAATGAATGATTCAATTAAAAATGTAAGTGCTGGTAAGTATGCAGGAACTTTAAAAAAAATTAAATAATACTAAAAGAAATACGCAAAAATGAAGAGGTGTGATCTATCAGTTTGTCCTGAGCACCAAGAGGACTCATCCAATATGGAATGCATCACAAGTACTATATGGAAAGGGGATTTGTTCCACGAATGAGGCACCTCAAAACTGCTGCCCCAAAGCACTTACTGAAGACTGAAAGAAGTCTTTGAGGAAAAAAGATACCACAGAGCAAAGAAAAACACAGTCGAAAAAACACATGCTTAGAGTATTTAATGTACTTGCTCCACAAGCCGTGTTAAAGGATACCGTATCGAGCAGAAATAAAAACGTTATTAACAAACAAATTTTGACGACCGACATTACAACAGCTGTTTCACTGTAAATCATGGTTTAACTTTTCAGAACGTGCTGTAGTACTGACAGCCATCCCGGCTGCCTCCCACTGACACCACCTCAGAGCGGCGTGCAGGAGTACACAGCAGTAACAAATATCAACAACTTTTCAAACAAAAATAAATCGGCTTAAGCAAGACAGATGATTAGCTGGTTTCTAAATCGACTTCACTTGCACATCCTTGACTACCGGAGATGGTCTATTCCCACACACCCAGCCCGAGAACAACCTCGCACCAGCACTGCCGAGGCTGCGGCGCTCCCGGGGCCCGGCCCGGCCCCGCGCACGCGCGGAGCGGCCGCCGCCCCTCGCCCCATTGGCCGTGCTCCCCGCGCTCCGCGCCCCTCCCCGCCCCGGCGCCGCCGCGCAGGCGCAGTCGCGGCCCTTTCGGGAAGGTTCTGTGTCGCACCAGCGTTTCCTTCCTCCGCCAGGGAAATCCTGTCCGGGTACGGGCCGCCCGCAGCCCCGCTCCTCTCCGCCCCGCCCCGCCGCCGCACGGGCTCTTCCCTGTCACCGTCTGCAGCCCTCGCCCTTCCCCTCACAGCCCGCCCGCCTCCCTCCACAGCCGCCTGCCCGCCCCCCGCAGCCGGGCCGCGACCTCCCCCCGCCCCGGTCTCGTGTTTGTCCCAGCCCCGAGCTCAGCCGCTGTGGAGCCCTGGGCCGGCCCAGCAGCCGGTCCTGCCCCGGGGACGTGCGGCTGTGAGGGGCAGCCTCATCAGCGTCATCCGTGCAGCGGGGCCATGGGGGCCGCTCCCCTCGCCCCCCCTAGCCCAGGGCCCCCAAGGTCGGCGGGCGCCCTGCGTCCAGCGGGGTCGGACCGGTCTAGGTTAGGGGGGAGCAGGTGATGGTCCTTCCATTGCTGAGGTGCCGGCCTCGCCTCTTGCAGCTACCTGGAGGTTCTTCTCGTTGAGACGGGTTCTAACGGGCAGCGCAAGGGCGGAATAGACGGCTCCGAGCCGCAGAGTGGGACAGAAGGGACTGCCAGGAAGATCTTCGTGCCTGCAGCGCTGCTGCCAGAGTCACAGAGAAACCTGCCGCCTCTCCTCTCTCTCTCTTGTGATCACCTGGAGAGGAGAGGTGAGTTGTCTTTCCCTCTTGTCTTGCTGTAGCAGTGGAGAAATAGGCTAGTTTGCAAGGTGCAGAACTTATTCAGGACGGCTTCAAGCCCCAGCCGGCTGCTTGATTTGTTTTATTTGAGGCTCAGCCCTATGCAAAGGCCCACTGATGGAGAAAGAGATTAGCACCGTGTTAACCGCGCGGTTCTCTCTCCTTTGCTGCAGTGCCCACTTTCACCGCTGCCTCCTGCTCTGCCTGCTCCTGCTTTCAGCATGGTAAAGAAGAATACTATCCCTGATGGGTAAGTATTCCTCACACTAAGCAAGAGGCAGGAGCGGGCATCCCACAGAGAGGGGCACTGACTGCCCCAGGCGCTTTCTTGCCTCAAGCAGCTTCACCCACCTACAGACAGGTTAAGGTAGGTATCTTCTCCAAAACAGGAACAGCCCAGCCATTCGTTCCCCAGGTGAGTATAATGCTCCAGCCTGTCTGTGAACACTTCTCCTTCATCGGCCACACACAGTTCCTTCTTCCTAATCTTTTTACCCCTAAGTGTATGTGTACTGGGGAAATGGGAGAGCAGTCCATACTCCTGGCTACTCGTGTTTGCTACTAGGAATGGCGGAAGAGTTGTTAAGATGAGAGCAGGTGGTTGCATGCACAAGATCAAGGAATGTTTTTGTGAATTCAGATCTAGAAACATCATGTGGTTTTATTTCTAACAAGAGGACAACAGAAATGTTGTATCAGCAAAAATAATCCCAAATTATTCCAAATGCACTATACAGGCCATATGATGACTTGATCATATGTGCATATGTGGACCACAGAATGACATCATTTAAAACAGATACAGTTCTATTCTTCAGCTCTAATAAAGCACAAGAAGAGAAGTCCAAGTTAAGAGTTTTAACCCATGTGTTCTTGATGGCATCCATACAAACTTTTTGGATAGGAGGGTATGCTGAGATACAAAGGCACGCTGTAATGGGGCAATAACTTGCAGTTTATACATTTTTTGAGAAAGAATTACATTATGCTGGCTTCAGGGAGAGTGTTAAGTAGGTTTATTAAGAGCATTCTTAGGAGGAGCAATAAGATACAAAGTACATGCTCTCCTGTAATATTTGTTGGTCCAAAAACCAGTAAAAAGAAACAAAAGATGAACAGAATTTAAAAAATCAAGATGCTGAAGTGTTTTCCATGGCTGACAAACTCATGGATTAAAATTAGAATAAACTTTTAAAAAAGCTGTTTAAAAATGTCTTACTCTGAAAATTTCAATGAAATTTTAGTTACGTGTTGGATAAAAGTGAGCTAAAGTGGGTTAGGTTTTAAGCAGCGATTCAGAAATTGGGAAAAAATTAGTCGTCCTTGTTTTCTTCATCCTTGGAAATTGCTACTAAAATTTTTGAGAATTAGATGCTTATTTCTCCATTCTTATCCCCCCCCTTGCATTTAAACTAGAGAAGCTTTCAGATTACACAGATTTCTTAAGTATGGAAGAATCAATGGACTGTACTTTTGACTTCTACTGTTGGAAACTAATACCTGTCAGGGAGAGAAACAGCTATGGTCAAGTATTTGGTTATAAAGCTAGTATTACCTTCTTACAAAGTGCCTGATACTGAAGTGCTTTCAACTTGTCCAGGTTGTTTTTATACTGCTAAGAAATAAAGCTACACATCCACAGTAACAGGGGTTTGGCAGTAATGAAGTTAAAGGCCTTGTCAGCCCCTCTGAATGTCACCCTTGTGCCAGCACAGCATGTTCTTCTTCACTGTCAGTTCAGTAAGCCAGGAAGACATAGAAGTGAACCCTGGAAGGGGCTTGAGTCTAGGTGATCCTGCATATGCAATTTACTGCCTCCACAAATAGGTGTTGGCAGAAGTGAGATTGTGGTACCCTGGAGCATAAGGACAAGTGCAGAGAGTGCAGACTGTGGAAGCACAACCTCCATCTCCATGTTGGAATAGCAATACTCTTAACTCTTTTGGTTTAGTGGTACTGCAAGAGGTATGGAAAGTGACACTACATACTTGTGTCTTTTGTCTTCCTGTTAGTGCCTCAATTTTAAAACACTTTTAATCCAAATTTCATTTTGCTGATTCAAGTGATACAATAAATTGGAGGTTTCAGTTAATGTAGTAAGTAGGAATAGAGCAACTAAACAAGAAATGGTGAACCTTTTTTATTGTTGTACACTATGATGTTTTAGTGGATAATCAGATAATCCAAGCTGCCTAACAAGTCATAAAATACTATGATGTTTTTACAAATTTATACTCACTTGTTCTTCAGCATCCAAAATCCTGCTGTGTGTATAATTACATAAACTCCAATGCAGTTCTGAAGAGCATCTGCAGAACTGTCACCTTCTGGCAAGTTTCCCTTGAATAATGTAAAAAATACTGAGTGGGGTCTTTCTGTTGGAAGGGCAAAGCTGAATTATTTTTGCCAATACACTATAAATATACTTCTTTAACTGAATTTTTTCTGTCCAGACTTACAGCATCAGCATTTTCATTTAGACAGGAATATAAAATACTGTGGCATAATGGATTGTGCATGTTCAACAGTAAGTGGGAGAGAAGGATGACATTTTATTTGTAAAAGTGTTTCCTATCATCAGTTTTGAATCTGTAGAGGTATGGAAGTCACTTGGAAAATCAGGCTGCATGTATATCATACAGTATCAGTAGCCAAAAAAAAGGGAAAGAGGTTCTAAGTAATATTTTCTAAATGGTCTTGCTAAAGGTGACAGTAGTTGTAAAAGTAAATATTACAATGAATCACTTCTAAACCAGAAAGTTCTACTGGAAATTAAAGCTTCTATATGACCTTAACAATGTTAATATTAAAATAAATTATGAAAAAAACATTTGTTTCACATCTGGCTCTATTAAAACTTTAAAACCAAAGCAGATAAAATATGCAGCTGGATGTAATCCACAGTCAGTTTCTTCACGTCCAGCCTGTTTTTCACTCCAGCCTCAAGTCTTTTGATAACACCTCTGACTCCTGCCTTTCTTCCTTCCACTCACGTTCAAGCAGGACACAAATCACGTGTCACGAGTCTCATTCACACTTGCTGAAATGCATAGTTAAGTCTTTGCTCCTGTAATGCCTGTTTATGTGACAACCTGCAGATGATCATCTTGGATCATTCTGCCTTTATCTGTATTTATTCTGTAAGAGTTTGACTTTCTTTAGTCCAGGCCACTTTTAATTCCCAACCATGTTCCTTTATGAGAACAGAACAAATGTGAATTTATTTCCTTAGCTAATCTTTGGTTAATTTCAATCTGCTGTTTTTATTTTAGTTCTGCAGCAGTGTGCTGAAATTTCCTTTTTAAATACCATTTTAAAGATAACATGGAACAAATACTCATTATATTTTTGATGAAAAGTGCCTTCTGCTCATTTTCTACCATAGAGCTGTCAGCAGCTTTTGAGTTTCTTGCTGATTGTGCAGATTTTTTTCTGGGAGGATTTAAATGGCTTTAAATACAAGAGAAGAAAACCCCAAGTTTATTAAGGTCTGACAACAAATTGGGTAATCCTGGGGTATTGTTCTGTAAATCCCCTAATATGAAAAAAAAAAGAGCAGAATATGTTAATTAAAGAAAATAATATTTTAAAGCTGTTTTTTGATACTTTGTTTTTGACTTCTAAATGTTCCTGTCTATGATAATTATGGTTTATTTCCACTCACAGATTTCCAAGAGAAAGCAGGTTAAAACAACACTGAATTTGTGATCTTAATTGATTCATGTACAATTTACGTCTCTTAAATAGGAGTAAATAGAACATCGTCTCAGATTTTTGTTTTCATACTTGACAGCAAGCATAAAGCTACCAGACTCCAGAGTTTACAAACTTGAGAATTCGCTTAAGAAGACTTATCCTGCAAAAAAATTTAGAATTTAGTAAAAGGTTTTATTTGAAACAGCTCTCAGTGATCTCATCTCCAGCTTGCCCTTACACTTTCTCTCCTTGTGTCTGTCTTCTACAGACCAGCTGTTTGCAACAGCCTTCCTAATGATGAGTTGTTATTACTCCTTTGTTGCTTCGTGTGTTTTCTATTAAACAAAGTACTTGGATGTCTGCACTGTGATCCTTGATCTGTTCTTGGCCTCATGATGAAGATTACAGAGAGAAGTTAGTCCTAAAGACATGGCTGTAGAGATTGTTATGTGATTGGTT